AGCTGTACAGTGGCCAACGTTTACAACTGGAAACTAGATTCACTCATGGAGCCGAGCCCTTCTTGAGAAGCTGCCAATTGTCCAACTACTCAAGAGCTTCCAGCACTTTATGGAACCCGAAGGTTCATTACCGTGTTCACAAGAGCCCTCCACTGGCCCCTATCCTGAACCAGATCAATCTAACCCATGTCATCCCATCCTATCTCTCTAAGATTCATTTTAATATTTTGCACTCACATACGCCTGGGTCTTCCCAGTGGTCTCTTTCCATCTAACTTTTCCCACCAATATCCTATTTGCATTCCTCTTCTCCCCCATTCGTGCTACATGCCCTCCCCACCTCATCCTCCTTGACTTGATCATTCTATTCTTACTCGGAGAAAATTACAAGTTATGAAGCTCCTCATTATGCAGTTATGATGTTATTGGCTCATAGGAAGAAAATTCCTCCTCTCCGTCGAAAACAAGTTACTAATCTACAAAACAGTTATCAAACATATATGGACATACGGCATAGAACTCTGAGGCTGCGCCAGCAAATCCAACATCGCCATTATACAGCGTGCCCAGTCCAAAATACTCCGATCCATCACGAACGCACCAAGGTATGTATCCAACCGCGCCCTGCATACAGATCTAAACACTCCTTACGTAACAGAAGTCATCCGAGAAAACAGCACCAGTTACTTCAGCAAACTAGAAAATCACTCCAACCCACTTCTTCAACCACTACTGCAACCTTATGAAAATCGAAGACTCAAAAAAAGTTGGCCATCGGATCTAACGAACTGAGGAAAACATCGCTGGACGTTTATTCCGCACACGCCAGAAGAGTGTACAATAAATAGTTATTATTTGTACACCAATCAGCACGTTGACTTATAGATTGTACAGTCTGATTGTCAGTAAAGGAGAGAAATAAAAATATTTCCCTCCAATAGGCTTTCTTGAAGTCTACAAATAGCTGATGTACTGTCTCATTGTACTCCCACTTTTTCTCCAGTATCTAACGAATGCGAAAGACATGATCAGTCAGTATTCATAGTCCTGTTTATTTAAAACACAAAGTTTCGGGGACCGGATTCTGTCTTCGTCTTCAGGTGGAACGTACTCAGTTGGGCTCAATCGGCAGAGCTAGGCCCTATTTCCGGACACCAGCACCAAACACAAGATGGGATACATAAACGAAGCACAACATAACCCATCTGCGAGAGTTAAAACAAAACATTAAAAAACTTCACACGCATGAGGCCTAGCAGCTATGTCCGTGCGCTGTTTCATGGCTATATTTGTTAAAATCAGAAGGCTACCAGAATAGAAGTCTCGTGATATAACTATAAAAGATCAGTGCTTTTTTGTTGACATAGAATTGAATTGAATGAGTTACTATGTATATCCAAACGGAAAGGTCGTGGATATAGTGTGCGAGTTCCTGTGTTCATATACCATCGTTTGTCAGATATGTTACTTCCAAGTGGTTATTGAGTCGGAATAGTATCGTGTTCATGCGTTATATCTCGATGTCTGTATCTAAATTTTACATGTTAGTCTGATGTTAGGTCGGTCACAGTAGCCTCGCGGTCTAAGGCACGAACTGTCTGCGCTCGCTCGGACGCTGGGATCGTGGGTTCGAATCCCCGTAGGGTCACGGATCTTTAGTGTGTGTATGCGTTTATTCTGAGTTTGTGTTGTGTGTTTAGGTAGCGACCTTGCAACAAGCTGATCACTCATCCAAGGAGTCCTACCATCTGTGAAAAATGATTACGGAACTGAATAAGAGGCCAGGGCCCTGAATGAGCTGGAAGAGCCATTGAAAAGAAAAACTAACGTTATATATAGTCTACAGGGATTTGGACTGCGTTTCGCCTAGTGTCCGATGTTTGTTCTTTTTTTTTTTTTACGCTGTGGGTCATTTTATGTACATATCGCTACAAGTCAGGAAGACTTGTTTCTTACGGTTGTGTGGGACATGTGTCTTCTGCTGTATGCAGTTGTTGTTGTTTTTGTTGTTGTTGTTGTTGTTGTTGTTCACGAGGTCCGTGAGTAAGTAAATGGCTGATGATGGCCGTCAACGCCGAAACATGTGCCATGTAACGAAATGTATACAATGATGCTTTGTGTTCCCAATTGTGCTGGCGGATTTTCCTCGTCTCTAATATACACAACATAACCCTCCTGTAAAATATATGTAATTTTTGTAATGTTATGGTGATGAAATTCATGCTTCAGACTGTTGAAGGCCGTTGGAACGAGGAGTTCTTCTGAGCCCGTTGATCTGAACAGTGTGTACAAAGAAACATTAGCTGCGTTTTTTTATGAAGTCTCCTAAAACTAGACACGTGGCTGCGTAGGCACACACACAGCGAGCGCCACTCTTGCATCAGTTTCCTCGGAAACGTCTTCGAGGCACGCATGTCCCATATTCCTGCTAAACCCTTAAAAACTGATGAGCCTAAAGGAAAAGTTTCCCCATGTGGAGGCGGGATAGAATACCTCACCTTCGCCCTACTCGTCGTGTTTGTTTGAGAAGGAGCACACACTTTTCGCTCTGGGTTATTTTCATTTCGCGGCCGACTAATGAGAACTTTACACGAAGGGGGCACAACGCGCGGCGAAAACAGAATGTTCATTCTCAAACACATTTTTAGTGCGTACGACGATATGCAGTATCATGGGATGCATCGACATACAAACTGATGCAGTGCGACAGTTTCAGTTAGTGAACAACTGCTTGAAGATGGCCTTGCAAGGCCGAAACATGTTGCAATTTAATGTGATTTCAATGACATTTTAAAATAAAGAAGAATCTGTGAACGATTTTGGTTTGCATTAGAGACGAAAATGTGTGAACGAGATAAAAATAAAGCAGCCATAATAACAGAACAGACCTAACCTGAGATCTGTGTATGGTT